CAGCTAAGAGAGCTTTTGATTGTAGAAATACGACGCAACCAACTTAAGTTAGGAATTCTTTATAGAATGGTGCCGCCTCGTCCTATCCTCTGATCTTGCAGAAACGCTTTCCGAGTTTGCCTGATGAATCACACCATCACACATTCCAGCAACTACAGAACAGAGTGCCATATTACGTACCGTTAATAACCCTTCGCGTTTTAAATTCGATTTTAAGCCAATGTCAAGCATTAATTTCGAAGTGATTATGGCGCCCTGAGCTTTATTGCAAGTGAAATGAGCTCATTTGTTAATTACGACTGCATTCTCTTCGTAATGTAAATTACATTGCGATGCAATTAATTTTACTGTTCCAAATAGGTGCCCTTAATGATTATTCGAAGTGTGTCTTCTTCCACTGAAAGAACTATTAAAAAGATATTTGCGAAACTGCTGATGCCCCTAGTTATTTGATTACTATTAAATTGATGTATGTGGCATTAAGGATAATAATGGGTAGATTACCTCCCCATATTTAAGTTTTCTTAATCAACCGCGTATAGTTTTTATACAAGAACTTCAAGGATCCAATTTTGCAGGTTAAATTATTTGTAATTTACAATAACTTGAGTTTGAATCATCATTCAATTTTTTTTATTTTAACCCACAAATATAATATATTAATTTAAAACAATGCTGACTACCTTCATAATCTTTTAAAAAACTCGTGCACACATCATCAGTTATTTACGAAGTGATCAATCAAATACGTATTCAATCGCATAGTGTTGATTAATTGCAATGACAAAGCAAATTATTGCATAACTTAACTATACTTATCCAATCCATTACTTATATTATACGTCGGCGTTTCTTTTATTTAAATCAACATCCTATTATAAAAATGGTTCTTAATAAAATCAATAAGTCTAAGAAAGTACTAGGTATAAACTAATCTGATGTTATTTAATTCTGCTGTTTAAATCTGTTACATTACCTTGTGTATTATTATCATTATTAAAACACGATCAGTGTACTAATAGCGTTTTAGGTAATTACCAGCCTGTTGGCATTTACAAACTACGTATAGTCGTATCATCGAAATCAAAATCAGAATTAATGAAATCTCCTCAAGCACAATTAAGATATTTCTCTACATCTTGTCCTACATTAATCCATGCCGTTCCTAACATAACTTTAATTGCGAAATAGATTATTCCAGCAGATTAAATATCCCATTGGTAACCTGCTGTTACCACCCTGTCGATAAGCCCGCCATTCTTTATATGATTATGACCTCTATGTTCTAGGTCTCAGAGATGACCACGATCTGCTAAAAAGATATTCGCTCAGTACGTGTAACTTGCATTAGTAGAATAAATGTGTTTCGCCTTATAAAAGCGAGTTGAAAATCTGGTCGTACTAAACAGGAAACGAAGTGGATAGATAAAGATAGTTTGTAAAAAGCGTAGATCCATAAAACGCGGGCAGCGTATGCGCACGCTTATCTAAAGTTTTAGGACAGCGCGTCGTTATCTAAAACTTACGTAGCCGTACTCACTTACTCCAGAGTAAATGTTTGAGTTAGAAAGTGCAGTTCCGTGTAACACGTTCCAGATAACGTTTACGTGCCTATTTGTAGTGCCAGAATTCGTGGTACTTGTCCAGGCTATACCCTAAAGTGAACCGAAGCAGTGATGATTGGAGGGCAAACAGTAAAATTATTAACAAAATGTTTACTCTCCGTGGACACCGATCACTAATCTCCTTTTAAAAGCTTTGCTACACCACGATAAGGGATCGTCTTCGTTTGTCAACACGTAATCCTCATTTGAATGGAATTTGGGAAAAAATGACGCCGATAAATCCATTTTGGAAGCTAGAGATTTGGGTATAAAAAAAGGATTTACATTAGCGTGGCGTGTACGAAACAGATATTGACATTCTTTTGTTGTCTAGATACTTTTTTTTTTCAATTGTTTTCAATCTCGTTGTTTACTGTCTAGATGATGTTTTCATAAAATTTTCATCAATGAATTTTCTAAATTGAATTCAACACGACAATAGCACGCTGATATCATGTCACGTCACATCATCATGATAGAAATGTTTTAAAACTATTGAAATGAAACTAGTAATTTATTCTCTCTGATTTCTGTATCTGTATTTTAAACATATCAACACCGACCACGAAGTGATGAAATACGACTCAATCTGTAGCAAACACGACCGTGTAATTTGAACTATCATTAATATCGCTTATTTACTGTTATTTATAAGCAGCGCACTTGTATTTTAAATTGGTGTATTGAAAATCACACTGAATGCGTCAGGTCGCGGTTGCGCGCTTTAATGTATAATTATTTACAGTACAATAACTCCGTGTCATGTGCCCACATTGAAAACCTTAATAGCGCTACAATATCGCTGATCCTCTATTTTTTGCACGATGTTAACCGTCAATCTTTACGAACTGCCACGGCCTCAAGTTCTCGATACACCATTAATAAAAACGAATCGTGTCATGTTTATTAACCTTACTTGTACATTCGCTTAGTCCAAGATTTATATTGATGTAGAACTCCGCTTACTCATGTCCAACAGATATAAAGGATATTACGGTGATGATGACCAAAACATGCTACGATTTCTGAGAACGAAATTTACTTAGGGTAGCACGTAGCCGAGAGGTTTGACGTCGGTCGTGAGAGTCAAACACATAATTTAACGATCCACTGAACACGGGAGTGCTTTTGAATACGTATCATTAGTGACTGACAGTAAAAAACGTTGTTTTATAAGTTTGTAAAGAATCACAATTTAATAGTTATATTAATTTTGCTATAAAAGGCATAGCTTCACACAGTCGATTGAGATAAACACGAATACCATTCGTATGCGTCCTGCATATTCGCCGTTGCAATCGAGCGTACGTGACTCCTCGGGTTATTATTCATGAAGGCTTTGAGCTTTATAACATTCTCGAGTACGCGTATAATATAGCCTAACGTATCTGCATATTCGTGGTATATAACATTAACATTAGCACTTAGGAGCAATTTTGGAGTAGATTACTACTATACGGCTACCGAGTCTCACGGTCCTTTGTCCTTTTATAATAAGGTATCATTGTCGTGGACACGCTCGGTGAGCCGACGTGAGGCGCCCGGGAAGTCGCCCTAAGGACATGCTACACGTCCGATGCGATGAGAATTTAGATTAGAATCGTTACGTTTCAATAGATTCTCGTAATGAAGTTTAATACCTTTGTGAGCGGATATGAGCATCCATTCTGTTCGTCCTTTCTCTTTGTGTCGTTTTATCTAAAATCTCAAACCGTAGAGGACACTCCTTTCATAACAAATCAGTTCAATTTTAATTTCATAACGTCTGTGACTATGAAATGAATTACATATTAATAATTGCTTGTATGCATCGTATTGCATATCATAGCGAAACTGCGTTTATGCTTGGAATATGCATTAATTTCATTCGTCAACCTACCTCAGGTGACATTATTGATGACTAGTAATATGAAATGCTATATAGTCCAGTCATTTCGTCCGAAAAAAAGGCAAATAAAAGAAAATGAATTTGCGCTTCTAATTTTTTAATATGTTGTAGGGGATACCTAGAAAAGCTTAACTTGAGATTGTCGACCAAGCTTTCCTAGGAGCTTTCGCCGCCATCTTGGAAAACGCTTAAAATTTGTTTTTCGGCAATAACTCGGCTATCCGATGAGATTCGAAAATTTTTGTAGGACACTTTTTGTAGCTTTCTTTGTGCTCTACAATAACGCCCGAACCATTTTTAGCGTATCATGCATCGTTATCGAGATATCGATCGATAAAGTCAAAAATTTTGGACACAATTTTTGTTTTTTTCTTTTTTTTTCTTTGGGTCTTAATAAATATGAAAAATTCCGAAATAATTAAATAATTAATTAAAAAGTAAAAAGTAAAATTTAATTACTTTTAATTACTTTTTAATTACTTTTTTTTAAGTAACGGCAAAGCATTTGTATTAGTTGGTTCTTGTTTTGATCCCTTGTGAGAAACTTCTCCTGGCTAACTTTTGGAGTAGTTGTCTCATCGAATGTGAACTCCGGCGATTGGTTTTTTCTCGAACGTCGTACTCTTTCCGAAGTTTTCGTTCCAGCGAGTGTCATATCAGTCGGATAACCGTCGAATATGATTGCAACCTTTCCTTCGAAGTTATGTTGTACGTATCTGACGTTAATTATTTAATTATTCCGAAATAATTTGTGTCCAAAATTTTTGACTTTATCGATCGATATCTCGATAACGATGCATGATACGCTAAAAATGGTTCGGGCGTTATTGTAGAGCACAAAGAAAGCTACAAAAAGTGTCCTACAAAAATTTTCGAGTCTCATCGGATAGCCGATTTATTGCCGAAAAACAAATTTTACCCCTTTTTTCAACATGGCGGCGAAAGCTCCTAGGAAAGCTTGGTCGACAATCTCAAGTTAAGCTTTTCTAGGTATCCCCTACAACATATTAAAAAATTAGAAGCGCAAATTCATTTTCTTTTTTGAATGTACGTAATGACTGGACTAATATTTATGTCTGAGTTGTGCATAATTTGCATTGTATATTGCACAATATTCCCATGTAAGTGGATAATTTAAACAAAATGATGTGTAGAGCGAGTAGGTAAGGAAATCCGCAGGTGTTCACTGAATTATTCATAAAAATGTTTTCCTCCCCCATAAATACCTCATTCATTCAGTTGGAATGAATGGTATCGTATAATTATACGATTGAGGATCATGATGCAGAGGCCGGGAGAACTCCCGGCCTCGTTAAATATTGTAATATTTAACACGCAATAGATTATAGTGTGGAAAAACCTACGTAAAGACTTTCTTCTTATTAAAAACACTGATACAAAATATTAATAAATATAAAAACCTATCTAATTGACACGGAACTCGTCTTCTTCTTTTTTGTTGTAGTACGTCATCTGCCTTTCAATTAATAGTAAACTTTTTGTCACAGATCGAGCGGCTGGCGCAGTATGAGCGACTGGTAGGCGGCGGGTGCGGGCGGAGACGCGCGGCGCGCCTGTCGGACCTGGAGCGCGTGCAGGACCTCTTCCCGCACGACTACCTCGCCCTGCATGACGCTGACGCGCCGTCGGCACTCGCCTCGCACCATGCACAGGTAAATACCACCACAGTAATATGCTATCTTCCTTTAAGGTAGCAGGGAAGCGTTGGACGCAGGCCGCTACCAATCGATCAACATGGAAAGCATTGGGGTATGTTCAGCAGTGTACGTCCTATGGCTAAAATTATGATGATGATAAACATGCTATCTTCAATGTGCTAGCTTATATTTGTTCTGAAACGCATGCCAGTCCTGTACCCAAATTACCAGCTTTATCAGCTTGTTGGACCGAGAGCGCGTGCAATATATGTTCCCGCACGACTATGTCACACGCACAAAGCTGACAGGTGTCGTCAGCATTCGCCACATCATCACCACGTCAACATTTCCTCTTTCAAATTACCATTTATTTTCTTATATAGGCACATACTTGGCCACAACATGGTTGGTTATCCAAGAAGTTGGAACGATACCATCGTGCATTCGCATAATATTTACTCTTATTTTCTACCCTACCTATTTTAGTTACAAATAAACTGGTATTTATGGTAGTTATGCCCATATTTTACAACATATCTGACAAAATATGATAAAAAATGACAATATTTCGGCCCTGCGGGTCCTATCAGCTAATTTAAAGTATGTCAGCAAGGCTTGCACGTTCGCGGCTTGCCACATCCAATTTGAGTTAGAGGCGAACGAACTCATGCCGGTATATCTATCGCATTAGTTGCACTAATTTTCTTATCAGGTGCTTACGCAATTAGAACTGACCCAAAGTATAGTTAAACCGCATAGTTTTATACATACTCGTATTTAGCAATTTGTGTGAAGGCGATCTATAATCAGTGTAAATGTTTATTTCAGAAATCAAAGAGCCTTCGCAAGCGGCCCAGCCTGGACATCGGGGGGACTGTTGGCGCCAACAACAGCACCCTCTCGCCGCGGACCTTCATCATGGAGGCGCCCGTCCAGCTCGGTCCCTTGGGCACCACCTCCCCACCGCTAGATCGTCATTTGTTCCTGTTCAGCGACCTGCTCCTCGTCGGGAAGTCGCGGGGGACGAACTGCTTTAAGTTGAAAGAGAGCGTGAGACTGGCCGAAGTGTGGCTTTCACTGCCAGACGGCGACGACACGGGCTTCCTGATCGGGTGGCCGACGACGACTGGAGTCGCCAACTACCTCGCCACGTACCCAACGCAAGCTGCCAGAGACACCTGGTACAGGTGCGTAATTACGTGTTTTGAATTGCCCATAGACACTAACAAGTTTGCCTATTTATGGACCTACAAAATTACATCCAATAAACTCAATTAATCATGCATTTCTGTTGCAGGAAAATTCAAAACGCTTTAAACGCCCAGTTGGCGACGGAACCAAAGTCAACAAACATCCAGATCTTCTACAAAGATTTGACAAGCTCGATAGAATTCGTAAGTTTTTTTTTTCTTTTATTTTTCTTCGCTTCATTTTCTTATCATTCCAATGTAAAATCGATATAGATTCCTATTTATCCTTATCATAAAAATATATTTGTTTGCAGTGCAAAACAGTATCAGTGGGTCCAGAAATGAGTGCTCGATGCGTAGTGCGGCAATCACTGCACGTTCTGCAAAACGGTGGCAGTGAAGGAGATGCCGACGGCGATGGCGATGGGGAGCACGAGGGAGAAGGAAGATGGGGCAACGCAAACGAGTTCACATTATGCGTCAGGCCGACCAGAGACACGCCACCAACGCCTCTCCATGGCATTGAAAGACCCCATGCTATTCAAGTAAGTATCATCAAAAGGCCTATTGACAATTGATCAACCGATGAATAAAAAACTTTTTCTCAAATGAGAGATGGGAGTGCCGTTGAGGTCACGTACCTACACCAAGACCACCGGGAACATCGTCCTTGCCTATTAATAATTCATTTCGTGAACGCCCACTGTCAACAAATTGAATGTCAATTACGAGGCAAAAAACATTCCTGTCTATATTTCGATTCATTAGGATGTTGTTGTGAGCAATTTGAATCTTATTCGTCGTGATTTTCAGATGTCAAGAATAAGGCAGACGTTATCAAATGAAGACGGTTTTGATTTGGAGCACGTGAACGCGAAGAATAATCCTTGCGGGCTGGTCTTCGAATTGAGGAAGAAAAACCAGGCTTTAAAAAAGTAAGTTAATTTTAAAAAAGTGATTGGTATTTGATTTTGAAATTTCTAAGTTCGAACTTAAATTTGAAATGGTTTCTTTTTCTTTTTTAAACTTTGGTTAACCAATACTTGATATTAACTGTACCCTTTTTATCAATTCTTAGCGGCAGCACAACGCCCGGTCGCGGTCTTCGGCTCCTGCGCCGCGGCGGGCGCCTGTTCGGCGTTGCGCTCACGCGACTTTGCAGCGGTACGCCACCGCCGGCGCTGCTGCAAGCGCTGCGCCGCCTGCGGGTAGTCGCGCCGCTCACGCACGGCGTCTTCCGGCGCAGCGCTAACGCTAAAGCGCTGAGACTGCTGAGGGATAAGGTAAGCTTTGACTCCTGGTCTTCATTGTGAGGAGTGGTGCTGCCGCTCACTAAAACTACTGAGATTCCTTAACGCCGAGTCTATTATTCTGTGTTGGAGTGGAGTAACACACTTCACCCGTGTTGCTCTAAGTGCAACTTTGCTTTGTGTAGTGAGCTTCAGTACTGCTTATTACCACTTGACTGATTGCTGGATTATGAATTTCTAACGGAACAGTCATAAAAGCCGGTCTAAAAACTCCCCTTCTTTATTCAGACTTCAACATAATTTTGTCTGATCAAAAATTATCCATGTTGATTATCCCATGATCTTACTTACGCATAACATTCTACTTGTATATGTTTTGATTCGTCTAAAGCTTCAAACAGTTCTAACGGTGTTCTACTATCCACAGCTGGACACGCTAGGCCCGTGGGCGGAGACGTGCCCGGAGCTGGAGCGGGCGCCGGTTCTGCTGCTGGCGGCGCTGGTGAAGGAGTTCTTCCGCGCGCTGCCGCAGCCGCTGCTCGCCGCCGAGCTCTACCCCGCCTGGCTGCAAGTGCTCAGTAAGTACTACAACTTCTTCACCTGTCATCCGCTTTGCAACGGAGGGAAGTCTAACCTTAACTTCGAACTCCTTCTTCTGATTAATTTCGTTGCGGGTCCAATGACAGTTTAACTTTCCCCCGAGACAAACTTGACCTTCACTGGTTGGGTTTTTATTGGCAGTCAAGCTGATCCTGGCTACACAGGAGTTGCAGCGGTGGATAAGCCAAAAGACGTCCCTGGACAAAATCCTCACCCAAGGTTTTCCACAAATACCGGTCCTGCACCGCCCGCATCCAAACACCTACCGCGACCTTCACCAAATCATCGGTCCACCTAGTGGGAAGCCTGCCCACACTACATCTTGCGGCTCGTGGTCGCCAATCAAGAATTTTTCTGCCCCAGCGGCCATCAGCTCTACGAGCTATGTGCCCCGCCCACTGCCACTTGATTTTAATAATTCTGCGGCTATGTCACTTTGGTTCTCCGATAGTTAATTTCTGGTAAATGTTCGCAATGAACGCCATCTTGACAGATTCGGCCATTCTTCTCGATATTGCCAGTACATAATCAGGAACTCCACCTAAAATTCCAGCAACAACCACAGTGTCAATCAATTAACAATCACTTTCTCTTTTCTTTACAGCATTATCACAAGCAGAAAAGGTCCCAGCAGTGCGATCTTTGCTGCTGAAACTGCCGAAAGCTCACTACACCATGCTGACGTACTTCGTGTGCCTTCTACAAGCCATCGCGAAGAAGTCCAACATCAACCTCATGTGTCCCATGAACCTCGGTGTTTGCGTGGGACCCAGCCTTCTTTGGCCCAACACGCCCTGTGACAAAGCTCCCAAAGCAGTGCCAATGGTTGTCGAACTACTCATTGTAAAAGCTGAAGCTCTATTCGGACCACAAATCTCCGGTCTTCTTGGAAACGGCAGCCCTGAATCTTCTAACGCTCTACTTGACTCCGGTGCAGAAGAAAGCGACAGCCTTCACTCCGTTGGAATCTCTTTAGATTCCATGGAACTCTCCACGCCACGCAAAGAGAAGTTGTCGCTCAGTAGAGATTCCGGTCTGACGTTATCAGAGGACGACTCAAACAGCAACGGGGGAAATAGCCCTGCACCCAGAAACATTTTGCACAGCCTCTCAGCACCCACTTGCAATATACAGCAAGAAGGAAAGTTGGTGTCGCGATACACCGACAATCACAACGTAAACGGTCTTCCCCAGATATCGCAAAGACAAAATATTTATTCAAATAAAGCAGAAATGTATAGCACAGTTAACGAAGAATTATACACGTCACCATATACGGGAGAACGATACGTGCATAATTCCATAAATATAGGAATCTCAAATGGCATTGACGAAAGAAACTACGTCTCCAAAACCGCATTACAGCGATCCACAGCTGACATATATGGACAGTGTCCAGCGAAATACATAACCGGTTTGGAACCACAAAAACCACCGAGAAGTATTTCTAAGGCGGCTAGAACGTCGAAGGTGTACAGTATGTTTGCAGAAACTCAAGAAGCTGATAAAAATGTGCCCAACAAAAATTTTAACCGAGCGAAAAGTTCAGATAACTTATTAGAATCAAAGCAAGAATCAGTAGACAATAAGCGTGACCTAGTTTCTAGTCAAGAAAATATCGTTTATAGTAACATACACGACTTAGCCATGTTCACAGAGAATATTCAACGACAAAACCAATATCAATCTCACGCTGAGGTGATGAAAAACGCAAATACGAATTATTCACGAGTCTACACGGGGTGGGAGAAAAAGAGCGCCAACTACAATAGTAAAACCAGCAACTGTTCGTCGGAAAACATTTATGGGCAAATGAGCAAGAAACAAGGTGAATCCTCGCAGAACAAACCAGATGGGAACGTGACACCGGCAGCCACCATTTTTACAAGAAATGACTGGTCTCGTCAAGCAGCGAGGACGAAGAGCTTGGAAGTGAACGAAGATGTCCAAACGAACGCGGAGAGGACGCGCAACGGAAATTACGAGGTGAATGTGGTTAACTGCTGCCGCAAGAGACGGTTCGATCCCGCGCACATGTGCACCAAGAGCTGCGCCGGCCTCCAGGCGTCCAGCAAACCGCGGGAGCAAGAAAAACATATGAATCCCCTTCAGAACTCGTACTCCTACGTGGACGATATGCGCAGTAACAATTCTGAAGATAATAAGAAGTGTAGACTCCGAAACTACAACAACAACAGGTTGAACCAGTCGAAATCGCTGGCGAACATCATCCTTCATAGCGATTCAAGTAGCAACGACACGCTGTATCAACCGCAGAACTCGTTCAACAGCAGATCGACGGAGTCGCCGGCCAGTGAGAACTCCTTCGAGAACTGCTACACGTCCCAGTACATCGAGCCGCTGTACACGTCTGTTTACAACCGCACAAGGGATATATTCCACGAAGATAAATACAACATGTTCTCGTCAGACATTTACAAGGCGACCCCGACTGCCGTGCAACCGGAGTATCACAACTCCGAGGAGCAGAACAACAATAAGAAGCCGCCGCACATGCCCCCGCCCGTGCCTCCGAGGAAGATGGTGTACCAACGAGTTTTAAAGAAATTCCAGCCGGTCCACGTGAACAAAGACGACAAGGCATCGCGATCCAAGTCCGTGCCGCGACTTTACCCGAACAACGGTGCTGACAAAACTACACAAAATGGTATAGCATTAGACGGAACCGATTCCGACACGGAATCCGAGTCGTACGTCTGAAAGCACAAAATATTTTATATGTACTGCTTTAAACACTATTATATTACAGGTAAACCTTTTAACGTAGGTAGCGCTACACAGACCGTTTTCCGACAATCATCACATGAGCATCTTAGGTAGCAATCTCAGTAGGAATATTTATAGTTTGATTCATTCATCATACACTTTATTGTATCCAAGTTATTGGAAGCTTTGTGTGCATTGACTTTTATTCTTATTTTAGATATGTCTTGTGAATCCCGCCTGAAAGTTTAAAATGTGTGACCATAACCAGAGTTGTTTTGGTGATGTAATTCCAAAGAGGTAAGAGTAGTTTCAAACTTTAATGATATTATGTAGATTGATGTTTCAATGAGAGTTTGATTTATATCATTGTAAGTGGTTTGTTTTTATTAACGTCAGCCAATCGTTATTAAATGTAATTAATATTAACGTAATTGATACTATGTGTATTCGAAAGTAAATAGACTTTTATGTGTCATTTAATTGTTATAAGATTAAAATATTATATTGAAATAAAAGGAAATATGCCTGTGTATATAATGTATTATAATGTACCTAAATATACTAAAATATATTAAACAATTTTTAATGATTTTATAATTGTTTCATTATCTCTACTTATCTCCCAGTGTATGTGATGCAGTAAAAGAAAATTAAGAACTCCATAGGTAAAAGTAGCATATTAAAAATAAATTATGAAATAAAATGCAATAAATCAATATAAATGTATATTATTCACGCACTGAGCACAAATTCATCACAGTCTTAAAAACTCAACGTTAAAACTTATTTCTATGATGTAGGTATTTAAAAATCTTAATAACACTATAATATCGAGCCCGATTATTTGATAAACCATTGACATTGAAATAACAAAAATCTAAGTCTACCAAATAAATGGGCTAAAATGTACCTAGAGTCCTAGATATAATTTTTTTTTAATCTCTTAATCAATATTGGTACAAATCCTACATCATTAATATATTTTTTGCTTAATCTAATAACATACATCCTGTATGATTTTAAATATCTGTTTTAAATAATACTTGTGTAAATGATTTAGGATCATTGAGGAAATAAAAATTGTAATACAGGCATGTTGCTGCGAACTAAAGGTCGGACCGCATTTGCGCGGCGCTACGCGACACTACACTCCACGTTCAAAAATTATGATCTCGTAAGCAACTGTGTTGCTCCATAATGCGACATTCTCCATACAAAATGACTGAAAGAATAATTTGACGCTTTGTGTCGCGCCGTGCAGTGCCGCGCAAATTCGGTCCGACCTTTATTAACACACTGTCCTATCATGTACAGAAACTTAAACAGTCTGTCCTATCATGTGATTCAAAGATCTACCTACCTAATACCTATCGATCGTATGAATAAAAGTTACGTGGACTACATAAGACATTTAACTTAAACTAGACGCTAATAACATGTAAATAGTTCACGTATTTTCATCAAAATTATGATTTTTTCATAAGTAAAAATATCGTGGAAATATTCAATCAATAAAAAGAGACGTCTACCACGAAATACAATTATGACAGCTATCGCACGTGACAAGTACCACATTACCCAACTTAACCGACAACGAGTAACCCAGTTGGAGCTGCCGTTGAAATGTCGACACTTTAACATCCGATGAATACTTATGTAAATCGTTTATTGTACCATTTGTATTTCAACCCATACCAACAATACATTTCGTAACCATTCGCAACCGTATTAGCTATGGCAATAATACTCATGGAAAGTTTTACATTAGGTACTTCTGAATGGAAAACAAACTATAAATAATTCAGATAATATTTTTACAAAATAGCTTAATAATAACGTCATGAACGACTTAAAAAATTAAGTACTTTTAGTACCGTTAATCAACACAATACTTCTATATTTAACTATTTATTCGTCTCTCCTTCAACACGTGTCATCTGTTGCCGTTAATTTTTGGCAAGAATAAATAAAAAAACATTGGTATTCTAACACTAGACTTGTCCAATTTCTATGTTTTGACGGGGATCGTTACGGTGACGGCGGTGTCGGTAGAGTTAGTGGAGTTAGCGCTAGGCCTCTTGTCCCGCTCTTCCTCCACGGGAGCTACGTAGTTCCAACTCTGGGTCTCACCAGTCCCGAACAGAATGAAGTACACGGCCGAAGCGATGTACAACGAAGCCCCTGTTATGAATACAGGCCGCCACTCCGCAAACCCGTTCTGGAAACAAAGACAAATGATTAAAAAGTCTAATTGACAAATGTTACCCAAAATTGACCCTAATTGAGCTAGGATACAAAACATTTTTTTTTGAGTCAACCGTCTAAATCGTGTCCATTAACTTATTAACATAAATATGTAAGGAACCCTAAAAAAACCAAATAACTTTTTGCTGTTATTTTTCCTTAAAAATTGCTAAAAGGTTATATCATCAACGATAATCACTTAAAACAGGTAACTTTTCCTTATATGCATGTACACACAGAATTGTTTAGTAGTCTATGTAGGTAATGCTTGTTCCACTAATCACCATGGTATTCACAGAACACTAATTTGATTTTGATTGTTCAATATCAAGGAAGACTTACGCCATCCTTCGTGAAGTGAGCTGTCACTAATGGAGTAACGAATCCAGCAGTGTTGCCGATGCCATTGGCGATTCCGTACAGAGTTCCCGCGAAGTTTGGCGCCAAGTCCTGGTGGTTCACCAAGTTGGTGAGCGTGGCAGCGCCATTGGACCCCATGGAGAAGGTGATGAGGACTATTGAGAGGATCGGCGCGCAGCCCGTGTAGCCTAATGCAATGAGCAGCAAGCCAGGCACCACGTGAGAGAACAGACAGAAGAATTTCCTCATGAATGTCGTGGAGACTACGTTCTGTTTCACGATCCTGAAAAAACAAAAGAGTATTGTTATAGACATTTTTGAAATATAAAGTGTCACAAACAAGTTGCAAAGTAATGCCAAAAGATATGCAAAGAGAAAAGGGTGAGATGCAGAAATTATTCAAGTAGGCAAGAATATAAAATCTGCAGGGCACTAAAACTTCATAAATCTTAAGAATGTATAGAACTCACCTATCTCCAATAGCACCAAAAGTTAGAGAGAAAATCATCCTAGCAAGATATGGCAGCGAAGATAGAGTGCCAGTGGAAGTCAGGTTGAAGCCAAGGGCACTGGAGACGAATTTAGGGGCTGCTGTCATCACGAAGTATAGCCCCCAGTTGCTGCCATAGTGAAGAATCACCATAGCCAGGAAGGGAAGAGAGGTGAAGATGCTTTTGAATGGCGGCACGATCTGAAAAATAGAGTAGATTTTTTATAATTCAGCAATGTTCGGGAAGTTCTTGATCGTTTCATTATTTGATTACTTTTCAGATGAAAAAAATTTCGTTAAAAAATAAGGTCGTAATTTCGTGTTATCCTGTAAAAAAGGAATCTCAACAGTTAACACAATGTAACGTTGTAGTAACAAAGTATAAATAGCAACCATAAACTATTTTAGTAGCCAGAGAATACAATAACTCTAAAATAAACTTGCATGCAAACCTCATAATAACTTTACACTTTGAAACAATGGGTAATCTAGCTCTCAAATAGTAAGAAGTTGTTTTTGTTACAGTCCATTGACTCGCATTTATAAACCTTTCTGACCTTTATCTCAGTGACACAGAAAAAGTTTGCAAAAAAAAAGAAGGATGAATTATGATTGAGACAATAGTGAATTCAGGTAGTTTTACCTCACAATACCTAAATATTTATCAATTGGGCGTAAAATTAGGCTTAACAAAGCTTTTAAAATACTCTCTGTTTGTCTTTCATTTACCTTTGTGTCTTTTGCGCTTTGATGGACTTTGTCACCTAAAGCTTCCAGAATGTATTTCTTTTCGCTGTCCGAAATGCGGGGGTGTTTCACGGGTGAATCATACACCAGTACGAGCCACAGTAGGCACCAAACTGTAGATATAATTCCTGCAAAAAGCATTTTAAGCAATTAGGTATATCGTTATTAAGAGGCTGATTAGTTGCTAATCATTGATAACAATACCGCATACCAAGGCATTTCTCTTGTGACAGCAAACAATTTGTTGTCATGACTTTTACCACTCTATGTTAAAGACCACAGTTACTAAAAAAATTACGAGAGTTATTCGTGCTTGGGGTACAGATGACCAGACCAGACGATAATAAAATACTAAGTCACCTAATTTTATCATTCCAGTAATCACTTTAGGTACTTGGTGATTTACGAATTTGCTAGACCCAGACTCATTTAATTAATTTCCTGTGGTGCAGTATATTTGTCTATTCATGTGATTGATTTTGGAAGTATAATAAGTAATTTAATCACGTTGTCATTTAGCTTTATGCCAATTTAAGGCATGGCATTGAGAGACCCGCTCACCGTTATGCAACGAGCCAGAAGTTTCTCAAATTAAAGAGTTTTAAATATAATTCTAAACTTGCAACGTGACATATATGGAACCAACTGTAACCTTGGTATAGTAGGTAGGTAACTTCCACGTTACACGTTACAGCTATCGTAATATTTAATAACAAAGGCTTAAGAAGATAAGAGCTATTCAAAAGGTTTACCTATATTATAGTTAAGTGTGTCACATCACTCATTCTAAAAAAACTTTGTTCTAAAATTTTCAAACTATACTTACTAAACTATTGTGTATAAAATCTATAGTTTGTAGGTAGGTAGGTTATTTCTGTACACTTTTATGATGACGTGCCTAACTATTCTAAATAATAAAATTTTACTCAGTGCTAAGCTTAATATAGGTAGATTAGTCAAATAAATATTGTCTAATAATACTTAATAGTAAGACAACTAAATACATAAGGTTCTAACTACATACCTGGTATGTAAAACGCATAATCCCAGCCAAATTTCTCGATGAGAGGGCCAGTGAGGGACCAGGTGACAACGGTTCCGATGGCCCCTCCCAGCAGAGCGCTCACGAATTTGCCCTTCTCTTGAGGTGGTGCCCAATGCGCCACTAACGCGTGAAGAGCTGGGAATAAGAAACCCTGAAATAAAGTAAAATCATATTTTTAAGATCTTTATTATTATTAACTGTAATGATCAACATCATGGTCATATTAAGAAGACGTTCGTCTTTTTGTGCTGGCATCGTTTTGGGGAGGAGGTATAGGTATTACTCACTTAAAGTAATAAAATAAGTAATTTGGAGATGTAGGTATTTCATTAATATTTAAATCACATATTTAAATATTTCCAGACAAAACTTGTAAACCCCTTATTATTAGACGTGCAAGACTTTAATAATAATATTTACAAAAAATCCATGGTTAATTTTCCACGTCTAATGTCTAATTAAGGACAAACAATAAATGAAAATTTGACAAAAGCCTCTTTGAAATTCTATTGAAAATCAGGAACCGCTACGGACTAGACCGTGATGGCCAAATTAAAAAGACATAATTACAAAAAATCCAATTAATTTTAAACTTCATTTCATTAATATAAGGCACAAAATTTAAAAAATAAACTATCATTTACAGTAGGTTAATACAATATTTCATGGTAAAAAATATTCTTATCGCTTGGCCTTCGTACACGACGCGACCTGAAATCATTACCTGTATTCATTGCTTTCAATAAAATAAACTATGAGATGCACCTACTCGTAAATTATAAAATTAAATGCGAAACTAGCTAGGATCTTTTTACTATAAAGAAATTTGGGATGATAATTCCCAGCAGAAGGAATTCACCTTAAAGAAGAAAGGGAAAATGTTGAAAATTTATTTGGGAAACCATTCTTTTTCATAATAGCTGTATGATCAATCAATAATCTGAAAACGCAATTCTGATTTTGATTATGAAATTGACTTTGATGCTGAACGCACGCACGATACAAACATTTATTGTCAGATTAGTAATAATGTATGTTTAATATGTTTTCATTTTTATTATCTCCGGGGGATAAGCCCCTGTACACGTTAGTCCTAATATAAATCCACAAGATGTGCATTTTCTTTGCAGATTTTCCTCGCAACGCTAAGATTATTAAGTTTACAAGAAACAAGGTAATTACACTTTGTCTTCTATCTACTTGCTATTAAAACAATCTACGTTGTACTAATATTCTACTACTGCTGACTATTGTGAAACTGATAAGAAGTGTAGGTAAATCGTGCGTATTGCATTCATTTTTATTAACATTTAGTAGAAAAGGCAGAAGAACCTACTTAGAAACTTATAGATGAATGTAATTCTAAATTATTCAAAATGTATCTACGGGTAAAAAATCCTACAATAATAAAATTGTGAAGAATGAAAAGTTTTGAAGAATTTTCACGATTCACGGTGCTTAAATTTTATTTTACTACGTTTAACGTTATAAAATGTAAATAGGAGGATTTCAACAACCATTTTAGCCCTATGTGTTCTATCTTACACATGCTTCAACAATTAGTCATTTTCAACGATATTTCACATATTCGTTATGAAACAGAAAACACCGTTCGTCTTAACTTAGGAAAACAATACAAAAAAATGTAAGGTACAATCAGCTTCAAATAGTTCGTAATTCGTGACACCCAAAGTAACCAAAAAGTTGACAACACAACCTTATTCCAATTGCAACAAAGACGTATTGCAAACTTTTTGGCTACTTTGGATGTCACAAACTATTTGATGCTTTGTAATATCACCATAAAACTTACTGATGCAAGACCGCTAACGATTCTGACAGCGACCAACACCAAGTAGTGGAGACGAGCAGCTTGTGGCGACAGTATCGTCAGTATGGAGGTGACCAGCATAGTGATGAAGACCACCTTCCGAGGGCCCCACATCTCGGCCGCCGTGCCCCCCACCAGACAGGTGACTGCATACCCCCAGAAGTAGCCTGACAAGACGTAGGCTTGCTCCTGAGCTGTCCAGTCGAAGGTCACCACGTTTTCAGGCTGTAACAAATTCAGTAAATAAATTTCAACTTTAAATAGGTACCTACTTCTTTCATGCAAACCTTTAAAATCCCTCTATGGCTTGGACTGTAATAATAATGTTTTCTTTTTTTGTTCTTGACTATTGTTTTACTCGTAGTTATGAACAATGATAATATCTACGTAACATCCTTATGTGTAGATACAATAATTGATTAACATAATTTTAGTTCCTATTATGGTATAGGTACTACCTATAGTTTTCCTTATAAAGAAGAAATAATCAATCAAAGATTACTCTAGTAAATTAAAATCACTGAAAAATCTTCGTACTCGTGTTATAGAATTGGGTAAATAGGAAGTATTTTTTTAGCTTGTTTTTATCCTAATTGAAAATGAATTGAAAAATCGTGGAATAGTATTGAAATAACTTAATTTAGATCTAGGTCTTCTTAATAATGAACCGTAACACATGCGGTGCTGACCCATGCTGTGCAAATGAAGAAAACTCATTTCTTTTGTGTCTTACAGGTATATAGGTACTCGTTAATTATATAAGATTCAACTGTGCAAAGTTTACGATGCATGTGAGCGCAAAACCCACAAGTGTCCAAATAAGAAACGAAAGTAGGTATTGGCAGAAAAAATACTATTTAAGTTTTTTCCAAATTAAAAAATACAGTTGTCTCTATCTATACGTATAAATGAAACTGTTAAGTACACTGTTTACGAGAAATTCTGGGTTGAAAAATATGTACATTTTCATTAACAATAGATACTTTACATACCGACTGAGCTATTTACATACAATAATCAGAATGCTCGCAATCTTCGAACATTCCCACGACAGACGACAGGCATCCTTACATATTTTCTGAATTCATTGACATCTCAAACGTGTTATGTACCTACTCGCATTTGTCATGAAAATTAATAGTTTCACTTGATTTTAGTTTCGTCTCACCGCAAGAAACAACAATTTAAACAAGTTAAAATACGACAATATTGTTCATAAAATGTATTAAGAAAATGTAGCGATCGCTAACGCGTAGGTACGAGAGGTTTTATTCGTGGTAATGTTTAATTCATAGGTAAAAAGTTGTTTTTAAAGAGATTATGGGGAAAGGGAATTTTCAGCAGTGGACATCCTATAGCTGAAAAAATTATTGACGAAAGAAAATTTGAAAATTTTAATAATGTACTTATTGGGTGAAAGAAGGGCCGCAAATATTCGATCACTTTTCAGAGTTGATACTTAGATAATCCTTCAAGGTAACTCACATTTGTAGTGAAAACCTATATACATATTTAGATATTTTTATCGTCTCATCGATCACGAATTCACGAACTTCCATTCCATTTATTACCACCAACAAACCTGTTTACAATCAAAAACAAAAAACAGGTGTGGTAACATTACAGTATCGCACTTCCTAAAAACACAAGTGAGTTGCATTACATGAAGGACAGAAGACAATGGCTGTATTTCCGCGCCAATAGACATAAGCAGTTATGTAAAAAGAGAAAATTAATGCCATGTGTTGTTGACTCATAATAATCACGTTGCAATAAAAGATATTCAGGTTTCAGCGAATCATTAGAGACTTTCAAATTGAACGTTTTTAGCAAGACCTGTCTAGGTTGATTGATATCTAATTGAAATTCTTATTCTAATGCAGTTGAACAATTTTCCGTGTGTGTGGTCCTGCAAACGGATGACTAACGTCTCAAAACATCTTTTCGAAAGATCCCTTATTGGTTTACGAAATTGGCGAAGACTATTGTCTGTATAATGTAGAGTTGATAGTGTTACCTGTCGTGGTCGGCGTGTCACCACGAACGCCGTCTCGTTGTAGAGGGCGCTGTCATTCGTCACGATGGCCTCGCACTGGCTTTTCACTCTGCGGAACGAAACACAATCGTTGAATTGCATTGCATACCTAGAATACCTACCTAACTTACGAATATTGTTGGTGTAAGTACAACTAACTCTGAGTTGCGCTGTCGAACTTAAACTATATCAAACGTCAAACTCCATACAAAAACGCCGGAAGTTATAGTTACTACGGTTAAAATTAAGGTGATGCAACTCAACCTAAGCATTACATTGCCCACAGGTAAAGGCGTAATTTTTGTGTAGTTTTGGATGTTTGGAAAGACAGAAGCTACCTACTTATTTCAGAGATTACTTTGCATACTAACAAACTACTATTTACTTCTGTATCTCATTAAAGTAACTTGTAAATACTGGAAAAACTGATAAATTTTATCAGCAAGTAAAATGTTTTGACTCGATATCGGTTACATCATTGTTAAAGTTTGATAAAAAGTATTGCGTTAAGATTAAATTGCTCTTGTGATAAAGCGAGATGAATGACAGATGATAGAGGCCGACTCAAGCCACTTTTCACCACCCCTTGTGAAGAAAAACAATCGATTAACAAAGTGTCCCGTGGCAGACTAGGAATGCAGAGCGAAAACATGCGATATTTAGATAAATATGTAGATACATAGAAGTGGAATGTATGAAAATATATCAGGAATATATGAAAATATATCATAATAACTCAAAAAATATCAGGCATGCCTCGGTTTTTCTGATAAGTCCCACAGATGACCTTTCACCATTTCTTCTTCATCTTCTACATCGTCTTCGTTCTTTCGCTTTTTTTTTAATTGTTCTAATACGAGTAAAGTCAAGTCACTATTCCTGATCCTGAGATACCATTTTAAATGCTGACCAAGTCGCATTCTACAATTATCCGCTAATATGCATAGTAAGGCGATTATCACACGGCACCGCGCTCCGCCGCGGTCCGCGTGGCGACATAATATTATAACGAATCCCGCACGCAAACGCGTTGTCAGCATGAAGCTAAAGATAAAAGGTTGTCAGTGTGTTGTGCCGCGCGTGTTTTCTTTACAAACTGAGGTACTTGCATATAATGATTAAATCTGTCGTCCCGCGTACCGCGGCGGAGCGCGGTGCAGTGTGATAATCACCTTACTGATGACCTAAAGTGTTACAATTTTGTGAGATAAAGTAATATACAGTAGGTATGATTGAAAGAAACCGATAAGTATTGGCGTTTTTATCGAACTGATAATGTCAAATTCAACTTAACAGAATTGTTTTCTTTTGCTAATCTATACTTGAGAGGAGACACTTAACATGATCGATAAAACTGCCAAAAACCGATTTCGTGACCTTTTCAGGTATTTGATATTGAATAACTTTTTTGTACAATTGCGATCGTAGATTTACAAAAGTAATTAGTTATTTATTTTAATTGGACTACTTCTCCGACATCGAAGTAGACAAGCTACTTACAAATTCCAAACTGCTTATCCGATCCATGTAAGATATTTTAAGGTGCTAAGTGTAACATCAGAAAAATATAAGTTTGTAGTGACATAGCTAGGTAGCATAATAAATAAATAATCTCGTGTTTTGTCGCGACTTAAATAATTTCCGGTAGTTAATAAAACATTACTCCAACTCATCGTTATTACCACGCCATATTTGATTTAGGCATTAATTGAAGGATGGACGCAAACTGCGTCATTATGTGCGAGATGCGGTGCAAAAGGTCATAAGGTCTTGGTAACTAATTGGACCTATAGTTTATATCAATGGAAACTGTAAATTTTTCATCAAACAAGACTAATTAACATTGATACTGACCCATCTATATAACTTAATATTTGAGTGAACGCACCCTGATTGTAAAGTGAATTTTGATGTAGAGAATATTCAGACGTTTAAATCTTGACTAGCTTTTGCCTGCGGCTTCACCCGCGTGAAACACAGTGTCACAGATCGTCATACATTATATAATATGTTATTCTAAGTCACACACACACACACACACACACACTAATACACAACACATCTACACTTTTACACACAACAGCACACACCCTACATCCATCCCTGATGCCTTTTCGTCTTCTGTGTACTTTTCATATTTTCGATTTATTGGTTCCTTAAATAACGCTTCAGCTTAGCCGTACTTAATTCTACCTGTTAATCGTTATTCTCTCCTCCACAGGACAGGCAATGCCTAGTGTGGAGGTCTGTCTTTTAGTTATTGTATTGTTTGATTCTGGCAATAAATATTTTCATTTTCATTTTTCATTTTCATTTTTTTCATTTTCAAGTTATAAACAATAATACTGTAAAGTTTCATCAAAATCCATTCGCAGTTTTAGCGTGAAAGAGTAACAAATATCCAGACATCCATACAAACTTTCGCATTTATAATATTAGTAGGATTCAGTTGATTTTAATCATCTCCAACATTTTAATTTATTTGATGTTATCAGTTGCAAGATTTACCACTTTTGGCCCTCGTGAAATTCAGTCTCTCACAGACCTTCTCTTACAAAAGCCTGTCCTAAGTTTTTCCCTGGGTTTCAAAACTATCTGTAATAAAATTTCATCCAACTAAGGCCCAGAACAGACGGTGAAACACAACTGCAACGAAACTGCAACTGCTAGTTACTTTTGAGTTGCAACTAAGTTTCTGCCATAGCGTCCGTTGAGAGACCACACATGACGCGACCAGTTTGAAACTTTCAGTTTTAGTTTCATTCATAAGAATCATCAGAAAGTTGCAGTTTCGTTGCAGTTGCGTTTCACCGTCTGTTCTGGGCCTAAGTGTGAATTAATCACAGAATGCAACGACATGCAAATATGAGCGTTTATTGTCGGAATTCATTTGAAGTTATGTTAAGTTATGCGTGAAAATGTAACAAGACAGACAGATATAATTACTTAGTTACTCGTAATTTATATGTAGCGAATCGTATGGTATCAGGATAAGTAGGTACATATTTACTGTTACAATTACAAATAAATAGTTATAAGAACAAAAAGTATTCCCATTGTCATTAGGTAATTTACAATACAATTCTAAACAGAATTTTAATCTTTGAGAGTTATTGAACAAAATTGGCCACGGTTGGTGTCGCGTGCGCAACGAAAGAAGCACGGTCACGTGGGTAGCCATGACTTTGGTGACGTCACCTTCTTCCAAGTATCAACAAAGTACCTAAGCATCAAGTCATAAAGCTGAAAAATTAAGGGGCGTATGAAACGAAGCTCAAAACCTTATTAAAACTTTTGTAACCTGTGTTTGTAATATGAACCTATCACAAACTTAAACCAACCTAATCTTGAATGAAGGTTCATAGTTACATAGTGTCGTACATTTATAAAGCAAGGAAGCTGATGCTCGTGAGAAAGGAATCAATCAGAAGCAACCAGTTTTGTACAGGCACATGAAACTAAACCTAATAGAAAATAAGGGTGAAAACCAAGTATAATTGAACTAAGCTGCAACAAACTATACATACAGGGTGTGGTAAAATAATTTCCATCTCAGGGGTGGTAGTATACATGACACTGATGCCAAAAAAAAATTAAATTTTCATGGAAAATTCCATGAAATCAGGAAAATGGTATTATTACGCGGGCGAGCTATCGGTCAGTCTCCCCGCTCTCCCGGGGCGGCAGCCGCATGTATTCGGTGGTGTAGCGGGGTACGCGGGGGTGGTGCGGGCGGTAACAAGTGCTGTCTCGAAAGTTTTAGGAGATGTTTGTACAAGGTTTTTTACTAATAAAGTAATAGTTAAAATTGTATTTATATATTTTTTGTAATTACTTTCATGTGTACTACCATCCCTGAGATGGGCGTTGTTTTACAAAACCACACCCTGAATAGAGCATGTTTTAATCTATGTACCTACTAGTAGTTTGTACATAAATGAAGGAATGGGAAGATGGTGTAAAATAATAACAATAGACCGGCGATTTTTTTTAGTTGTCTTAATTTAAATGTAAGCAGGATCTAATTAATTTTAAAGTTTCGCGTTGCATAATTGAATAAAACCTGTTTAAATTAATTAAAGGAAATTATCTATCAATCAAACTCATCAGTGTTGTTTTTGCTGGAACAATCAATTACTTGCTAGCTAATCGCACATGTCCACGCACTCTACAATAAGTTTTCATACATCATCAACAGTCATACAGAGTTTTTATTAGTGGAACAGGATTAAGCCGTTATGAGAACGAATTACAGAATCCAGCTTACAAGACGACATACAAAAATAGATGAAAAAAGTTTGAATATTCCGTATGATTGACCATGACATAGTTTTTAGACATTTAAGTATTCATTTTCCTCACATTGATGACTTTATTATATATTTTACGTCAATAGCACATCAGACTATATTTTATGTTGCAAAAGCGCACCTATTTCAACTACTTAGGATCTAGCATCCTTAGCTTGCTGAAGCATCGCCTAATCTACTTCGAGTGTGTCAAATTAATTACCTACAGATACATAACATCCTCAACCAGATTGCCGAAGAAAATTACTAGTTTTTATTGCTTAACGAATTCATAGGAACAGCTTTGTATGGTAAGTGATACAACTGTATTGAATTGCTTCTTTATCGCAGTGTACTCTGTAATCTGTTTGTCTCGATGCTTCGAGATATGAGAAATGCTGGTTGCTGGTAGGGCACAAAAAAAATTTGATCATGTTGGCTCCTTAAGAGCGGATTTGACCAAAATACTAATAAATAATACTTTAAAAAAAATTTTTGATATAAGAATAGAGAGTCATTAAACTTACGACGTGGCATTTTTGTTGTCGGGGACCATGGCGATGATATTGACGCTCATGTTGACCCTCATCATGTAGTTGACCCAGCACGCGAAGAACATCATGATCCCCACTACAAGCCGCGCCGGTATGGCATCTGAAACAAATAATTAAAAGATTTTCAGATTTTTTGCAAACTATTCTAATATTTCCGTCGTCTGTCCTTCAAGGATCTTAAAAGCTATCGATTAAATCCTCCACAATTTAACTTTTATTACTACGTATAAGTTAGTAATAAACATTTATTCGACTCCAACCCAGAAGGTACGTCATCATGCAAAAAACTTTAACATGTTGAATGTTGGTTAGCCTTACACGCCTATCTGTACTAATACGCCTACCTATAAATAATTCTCACAAATGACGTCATCCTGCTATAATTGCGTATTAAATCTTGTTAAATTTTTGAACAACAAAGTATTCATAAAGTATAAAGTTGGCGAAATAAAACAATTAGATGACGGGCCAAGGAAATATGAGTTCTCGTCGCTCCTAAACGTAAGCCTTATGATATTAATCAGCATAAATCGATCCAAGCTTTTCCTGTTTTTCCTTCACTAAAATCTACTTATAGAGCAGCACGTATTCAAATGAATAATTATAGATATTTTTTTCCCAGTAGGTACGTACGTACATAGCCTTACAAATTAGGGGTAATAAAGAAATCGTGATAAAACATCTCAAATTACACATATTACTCAATGCGGACGAAGGTGATTTAATTAGGTATCTATCTAGGAAACATCACCAAGAATAGTAATAGGTAGTATTGTATTCTATGGCACAGTTATTAATGTAGAGTTTTATTTACCAGGAAATTCAGTGCAGAGATTATAAGATTTATAAGTAGGTATCACCATCACAATGCGTGTTATAATATCAAGTTTGTATCTCATTGGAATTATGCGAGTTTTTGCTTATTTCTTCCTTAACCTGTTTTGAGTCTGCATACTCTTTTTGTTTTGTTTTGCGTCCGATGTTCTCTACAGTGTCGAGTGGAGTGGTTGGTGAACTAGCTGTCATTGACCTACACACATCGAGGAACTAAAGACGCGTATTTGCTTCAAGCAAACACATAGCCGGACAGACGTAACCACTCGCGCAGAATGCACGACCTCCTAGGAGATTCGCGGAAGAACACTTTCCAATACAATGTCAATAAATGGCAGACGGATAAACACCGGTTGACATGCACCCAAACCACATTATGACATATTCTAATTATGTGCCCAAACTATCAACTTGTAATTTATGCAAAAAATTACATGCAAAAACAACTTTGTCTGTGTTTTTGTGACGCCTTCGCTGAACAAAAAGAGATTAAACTCAAATGTCAGTTGTTTTTCAAGGAAATAGTAGTTACATAGTAATATTTTTAGGCTACTCGTAGAATCTAATTAATTATTATATTGGCGCTGCTAGACCGAAATTAAGGCGGACGAAACCGCGCGCAGAAGTAATAGAAAAATAATATTAAAACAAATTGAGGTGACGCGAAAGCGAAAGCCTTTTAACTATATGCTCGAACTAGTTCACCGGCCTGAGGTTGTCGCAAGATGCAAGTGAAATCAATCAAGCTGACATCGAAATTATGAACACCGAATCGATTAAGCTGAAGAATTTTTAATTAGGGACGAACAACTCGTTGTAAAGCTGTTTTGTTTTGACGATGACATTAGTTGGGATTCCCTCCGTCCATCTGATACTAAAAACTTGTTTTGCATATTATACTGCGACTGGCATTAATATACCCGAAGGCCGCGGATTTCATTTACGTAGAAGAGGTGTGTCTGTGAAGCAATGTGAGAATCGTCAAATATTAAATCTGTGAGTTGAGTTGAGGTTGGTAAGATGACCTCTAGTTTTGAAAGAGTACATTAACGAGTTGTATTTAATGTAAGTATAGTGTTTTACGATCATTGGCCTAGCCACTGCTATTGACGAGTAGTTAAAGAGAAGGCTATTGCTAATTACTTAAAACAAAATACGAAGCTTAAAAAAATAGTGTATCTCTTATGTAGTAAGATAATATCAATATACTAGCCAAAACACAAACGGAAACAATGATTTTTCATGTTGCAGTTTCCTGTCGCAGAGAACATACTTTTTCAAGTTACAGATCGTGGGTTCAAAGTCAGTTGATTTCCGAAAAACTCATTTATTTCGAAAACTGAGGCACTACAGGAATGCATTTGTGAATTGAATTTAACCGCCTCTGTGGTCTAGTGGTTAGACCACCTGCTTCAGACGCAGAGGTCCCGGGTTCGATTCCCAGTGGGGGCAGATTTTTCTGTTCGGTTTGGTTGGTGGTAGGGCTTGTTCTAAGTCCGCCTGGCTAGCNAAAAAAAAAAAAAAAAAAAAAAAAAAGAATGGACTAGAAAAAGAAATAGAGTTCACCGATAGAATATATAATTTATTTTCCTTTGTTATTCTCATAAAATCTAGTGACACTGGCTGTTATCGCTACCAGTGTTAACTGCATACCTGCGTCAGACATAATTGCACAAATATCAAACGTAACTACAATAATAATCATAAAAATGTATGAAACGTTAATTGTTGGATACGGGTACAAGCACGTCCAAGTCAGAATGGGAGAGTCAATAGTTAAAATTCGATAAACCAACTGTAATTATGAAGTTGTTGTGAACTTAGTCCTGAATAATTTCTAGACTCTGCGAGAATAGAAACAAGCATGCAAACAAATGAAGTCTAAGGCGGAGTTGCACCAACTTATTTTAACCATAACAATAACAAAGGTAAAGTAAGATGGTGCAACTCAGCCTAAAAATTTTGCAACTGAAACTTACCTACTTATTTTGATTTGATAATAACTATATTGAGAATACTGAACTTAGTAAATTCGCTGAGTTTCATCACCAAACTTTAACCGTAACTTTAACGATAACCGGTGCTGTTTGACCTATTTTTGACGTTTGTTGTTATAGTTAAAATAGAGATGGTGCCTTATTGATTGATGCAATTTTTTGGTAGAACATTTAGCATCCACATTAGGATCAGACTCTACATTTTTGTTAAGATATATAAAATGCTATAGTCTTTTGTACATTACATCAATATAATCCAAACTAAGGTGTTAGTGATTGACCATTGCAGAAAAGTTCGGAGTGCGTGTGCGCAATTGAATAAGATAGTTTGAGTTATTGGCAAACTCGGCACGCCACTAATGAGCGACGACCATTTGCGTAACGGTGCGATGTTGGGGCAAATGCACACTGACCGATCTAGCTAATGCATCTGGTGCCTCCTCTAGACAAGCTGCAGAGTAATTCCGAATCCGAATCGTGACAGTTGTTATTCCGAAATCACTTTGCTCCAGCGTTTTTATGAACTTCGCTCCGTGAAGCGATTTCAAAATTAAAACTGTCACGTTTTGTCGGATTCAAATGGTAGAAAATTAAGACTCACTTGTCATCTGCAATATACGATGACGATAGTAACTCCTAAAAAATCTGTCAGGTCTTCATTCTCATTTCAGTCCACCCCCAACACAACTGTAATAATAACAATATTGTGAAAGTTAACGAATGAGAAGTAAGTAATGCTAGTTTCACTGGGACAACTAATGAGAAAATAATAAGAACCTCGCTAGATTTCGACAGTATTTATGAGTGTTATACTTGTCTCGACCATATCCTCTATTTTTTATGCCTTTGCCTTACTCAGTCATGCAAAAACAAAAAAAAAACAAAGCAATAACAATTGCACTTTTTTTGTCCTTGTGGACATGCCCCAATCCTTGCCTGGAAGTTCCGACGTACGGTGAAAGTGCAAGAATGCAGGCTCCGCCGCGCGGCGCCACTCCCGGCGCCTCGCCGACGACCGATCCAGGTTTTTACACTCATAACACTTATTTACAGTGTCATTACACTTATTTTATTTATAGCACCGCAATAAAGATCATTTATAAAGTTGCTGGGCTAAATAAAAACTTGAAAGTATGCTGAGAATCTCAACGGATAATGAGCGACATTCGAGGGCCGGAGTCGATGACAGCTTTTACTGAAGCTTTCAGTGCTTTTGAGAAGGATTAAGTAATTATGAAAATTGTATCTCTTATTTATCTTTATGGGGTGCATGCCCTACGACAACATGAAATAGCTTCGGGGTATTAATGTGTCACACGCTTGTCCCACTTCCAGATCACACGTTAAAGTTGACACAGCTTGTGTGGGCGTGACAAAGCCGTCTCCGATGCAGATAACTCTACAAGCGAGCGCTGAACTTTGGGATGACTAAAGAGGGTACTAAACACTAACGGGGCAGCCTACTTACGGGTACCAATGACCATTACAGACAATCTATCGCGTATTCATAATTTTACATTTGCTGCTTACGCATATAACCTAAATGACTATGAAGCTTACTTAGAAGCCAATGAAAATTCATATTTTAAGTTTTAGAATGATATGGATATTGTTACACTACCATCCTGACGTAACAGCTACGAGTAACTCGCTGCAATGCAACTAACAGCCAACTGCGATTAATGCACGAAACTGTGGATGACTTCGTGAAAACCATCATAGAATATGCTAGAATTAACTGCACAGTTACTAAAATGAGCTACTTTGAATACTTATAGCCTGCTAAATACGATATAGTGCTAAGAACTGATAAACATCATCATAAACCTCAGCCTAAGCCAGTTCACTGGCCTAGGCATAGGTGACATAGGCCTTCCCCAATTAGATATGCGCCTTTTTACCCTTATTTTGCTTGTTGCATCCAGCTTCTTAAGCAAGACGTCGACTCTACGTAGCTGGAGGGCTACCAACTGTTCTACGCTTGCTACTAATTACTGTAAGATAATTAACTAAGTACACAGGTATTTTTTCGTCTCTGTCAAGTCCATCGTCATACCATTATCATCTCCGTTCCATCTTTTAAACTGGTTCTTCTTATGATTTTAAGTTAATGATACTACTTTATTTGAAGAAACAATTTTTTAAGTTAAGTTGATTGGTATTACCCTTCTTATCTAAGTAAAAGATTAATTAGTGGTTACTTTTAAGCAAGTTTGCTGATCATTTTGCCTAGCAGGTGTATGTTTGACTTCGTGCATGAGGCCAGGGATGGCTACAATATTCAACTATTCAACCAACGACTGCCAACACAAACATGTTATTGTGCTCCTCAGTGCGCTGAATCGTAACATCGGAACTATGCGTTTCACGGTTTTGTCAAGGTCGACCTGACAGCATGACAATCAAACGACTCAATAGGGGCGTGTATAATAGCTCCCATACAATGGTCTCGCTGTACCACCACATTGTTGGAACCTTAAGCTGTCATTAAACTTGGAAGTACGAAGTTACATCAGTCTGGAAACATACAGAGGCAACAATTACGAACTGGTTAAACAATACAATACTTCCCCGTGTATCTGTTTCAAAACAACATCAATATCTACAACAGCGTAATCTAAAGTTACGTTATCATCTCTCCACTACCGTTTAATAACAAAAATCATATGGGCAAATACGCATCTGCGATAAAAATCTTATAAGATAGTACGCTGATGTTTAACCTAGGTAGGTACATAAATTACTACATATTACAGCATTGCTATAATGTAAAGTAAATATAAATGTTAAGTCATGTAAACATTCATCTAGAGACTATAAGGCTAGTCAGATAAGAAATAAAAAAGTTTAACACTCTGAAAGTGCTGAAAGTCTGTAAGTTTCGTTTTAGGTACTTATGTGGGTGCTTTTTAAAGGCCAGCTTGTTGAAAATAATGGAATGCCATATATTTATTTTTAACTTTTGCAAACCATAATTACTATAATCGCAAAATGGGTCATTTCATGAACTTAGGAAGGTACGAGATAAACCGAATTATATAGATAACCGAATTAATAATAAATATTTTCTAAGATAACCGTTGCCAAATTATTAACATGTTATTCATAAGCGTTTAGCATTTTGATGGCCATCAAAACAGGTTTACATAATGCAGAGATGGTATCACCAGATCGAATGTAAACATTAAGTTTAAATGCTTGACCGTCAGAATAAGGAAAAAAGCGCGCACTTCAATAATAATATGGCGCCTATCACTGAAACCCTATGGTTGTAATTTAAAACCAAAGGCCTTTTATTTTCCATTGGCCTCCAATGTCCGGTCATAAATATCATCTTCTTCTTCTTTCTTTGGTTTATGGCGATGAACTTAAAAAATGATTCAATAATTACTTGTAAAGTCAATGTCATAAACGTTAAAATAAAAATATTTTTTATTAAATCATCAATTTGCTTATTGTGGTTAGTTAATTAAAATCCGCAATCCATCCTTTCTCTTTATCGTATATTATGGCCTTCGAAGCTTCCATATTTTTTCAGGTTGATTCAATTCCGCAATGCCCTTACCAAAGTTGTAACAAACAAAAATGAACACTATAACTGCCCCATCTATGAGTAGAACCTTATTTCTAAGATTTGTAACAAAATAATTTGTAAAATTAATTACCAAGACGACTTTTTAAAAATAAGTATTATACAATTTTAATTAAATATATATTTACTCGTATCTTTTGACGTAGCGCAGATGGAGTTACGCAAATAATGTTAGGTATACGCATTTTTTGTAAATACAGTGTGAGTCACGTTAAAGTGTACATATGAAAATACATGAAACTAGACCTATTTTTATCGACAAAAAAGAGGTCAAAAAATTTTTGAGATTTTTTTTAATTTTTTTATAGAATTTTTTTTCTTCCAATTACTTATTGTAAAGAAAACGTAATAACTTTTAAACTAAGCGGTATATCCTGATAAAATAAAAACAGTAATAATGCTAAATAACAGGCGATACTAAAAAAATACATAAAAGACACAAAAAATGACAACAAATAATAAAAAATGATACTTTTTGAAAAAAATCTGCTTAAAAATTCGTGTTTTTTTGGTTATTTTATAAATTTCTCCAAAAAATGCCCCTATAACCGGTGGTTTTTATTACTTTGTATTATTTTCTATCGTATTATCTTTGTAAAACCAAAAGTCGCATGTCTCTATCCCTATCACAACATTTGCTATGATCGTTTGAACTAAGCCTCTCCGCGCGCGCCATTCAACGCTTCGTTAACAACAAAACTGAAAATGGCTCTAGATTTGTAATTTTGATAAAGACAAGTTAGATTTCAAATAAAAACAAAAGATTTCGAAGTAAAATAAGCATTTTAGTTAAAATTAAAATTGTCTCTACCTATAGCGGAGAAAAATGTGGTGGCAGGCCTTTGTTCAAACGATCATAGCAAATGTTGTGATAGGGATAGAGACATGCGATTTTTGGTTTTACAAAAGTAATACGATAGAGAATAATAAAAAGTAATTAAAACCATCTGTTATAGGGGCATTTTTTGGAGAAATTTATCAAATAACCAAAAAAATACGAATTTTTAAGCAGATTTTTTTCAAAAAGTATCATTTTTTATTATTTGTTGGCATTTTTTGTATATTTTATGTATTTTTTTTAGTATTGCCTGTTATTTAGCATTATTACTGTTTTTATTTTATCAGGATATACCGCTTAGTTTAAAAGTTATTACGTTTTCTTTACAATAAGTAATTTGAAGAAAAAAAATTCTATAAAAAATTAAAAAAAAATCTCAAAAATTTTTTGACCTCTTTTTTGTCGATAAAAATAGGTCTAGTTCCATATATTTTCATATGTACACTTTAACGTGACTCACACTGTATACGAGTATAACCTAGGAATAAAAACTAAATGCACTTTTAATGTAGATCACGTTCCAATTATGTACTAGGTTTTTCCTTGGGGTTATTCTAATTGATTCTCCTATAAAGCTAAAGCTAAAGCTTTCATGAAAATTACATTTTGTTCCAGAAATCAGCCTATCGGTAAACAATACGTTAATTAGTGTTTAGCGTGAATATAATTATTTAAAAAGAAAATCATAATTAAGTACGTTACTTTAAGTTGGTATTAACACCGTTAAAAAAGTGACTCTATATTATAAGGAACACTCTACAATCCAATTTGTAAAACGTATTTACTAAGTAGGTTTCAATGGACATCGGCCTAGGAACATAAAACTGGGGTACATAAGCACTGCATCCCACATAGCTTAGTTTTAGCTCCCGGTATCTGTCCGGCATAGGTAGACACTTTAGTAATGTCATAGCTGAACCTGTATACTGTCTTACTCAAAATATTTTCTAAATTATAAATGCCACCGCAAGAAAATCTAATAAGTCATTTTAAAGTAGTTATCTTAATGAGACACAATCATCTGACTCCGGACTATTTTGGGATTACTCAGACAAGAAATACCTAGGTAACTTAGGTATTACCTAAGTATATCTGTTTCAGAGACACTTTGACATTGTTATATGTACCTACCTACCTATATGCTACAATAGCCATGTAAGTAAACATTGTACACTCTCTTTCTATCAATGTAATTAATTTGATACGCAAACAAAAGAAAACAAAACACTGCGTAACCATTCACCTGTCGAACGAATTGCTAAGGTTATTATTATTTGTGATATGTAAACTAGTCACAGTTGGTTTATTTTTTACTATTGTACTTATAATAACCAGAATCTTTTTTTTTTAATTACAAACGCAAACTTACAATGTCTTTATAAGATGCCATAAAAAAGTTAATTGCGGCGTTCTAATCGTTTGTAAAGGTGCTATCAAGGATTCGCGAATTAATTTACACTTACATGTCCTTTTGTTTAATAAATGTTTATTTTCAATACTTACCGAATGCTTTAATGTGTAGTTTCATTTTGTTTTAACGCGAGTGAACACAATACCCGCACTGCGGATCCGCGCGAACCGTGAGACGTGATCGCGAGTTGCGCGCGCGCCTGACTTTCTGCGACTAAGGCCTCGCGCCGTTCAAACATCCGATCGTCAATGAACATTATCGAGGCAACTTAACACTATCTGCACAGTAGCCTGCCACCTTTCCTTTCTCTTTAAAATAATTATACTAGTTTCACACATACTTTATTTCAATTAAGCTTACCTACTGATACCTAACTTAATTACGTATAGGAATCAGCTTAAAGCTTATCTTGTCTCTTCATCTCTTTCTAGATCTTTCGACCTAAGGTTAATTACACTGTAGAAAATAAAATAAGATGGTATGCCTACCTACTCTTAGGTACCTAGGAAGCAATAAGCATATTGAAAAAGTTTTTAACAAAACATTGCGGAATCAATAAGAAAAATATACCTAAACTAGGAAAATACTTTTCCAGAGATTGTGGCCCTACCTATACATTATGGTCCCGTAGACTTATTGTAGCATTTTCATTAAGTGCTTAGGTACAGCAGGTAGTCTAGATACCTACCTAGTAGGTATTTATTTAGGAATCTACTGAAATCTTGCAGACGCGAAAATACCGAAATGTATTTTATAATAGCACCAACCCAAATAAAATATTTTAATAAAAATTCAACTCAAGAACTTGGATTAAAGTCGTTATCGTAGCTTTCCTTCAACAAATCGGATGTAGACGTTTTCCCGGATGCATTTCTATAAACTCCCCAAATCAATTCTGTTCGGCATAGTCTTCTATCGCAATAGATGAGTGTTTTCTTATCTACAGTTAGATGACGGCTCTCAGTAGCCAAATACATTGCGAGTATAAAAACAACTTTGGCCTAGAAAGGATAGTTACGAGTAAGTAGTTTTCCGAAGGTCGCAGTCCAATGGACTCGGTAGAGATAAATACGCGTGTGCTTTTGTTACATTAGATTTTAAACTAAAAATAAATCGTTTCAAATTATGATGATTTTCTCATTATCGAACGTAGGCTAATAGTTCCGTACATCCGGAGCTCAACAATTAGGTATAATACAAACCCTCATTGTAATACAATTGAAGTTCTGGAATCTTTTTTCTTTAGAAGACTGATACAGAACGTTAAAGCTAATTTGAAAACTTTTTGCGTTTTTGTGAACAACCAACCGGTTTTTGTTGTTTCATACTTTTTTACAATAATTCGCAGGTTTATAATGATTTACCTACTTATTTGGAACATCCTAAGTAGTAAGAACTTCTAATGCAATTAATGAGAGGAACATTTTATACCTACTTAAAGCCTCAACAACGATGACAGTAAATGATGATAAAAAAAATAATTGTATTTTTTTAGAGATATACATATAAATAAATAATGTTCATTACTATAGATGTTAATTTATTACCTTGATTTTTATTTTGGTGGACACAAGCGGATTTGCATGTCGGAGATGAGCCGTTTAAATTCTATCCACGCGACGATTTTGTGCCAAATTCATCTGTTATTCCATTAACATGCCCTTATAATGAGACCAAGGAAAAGGTCTTCAGGCTTAAGAACGGAAATTAAGAATTTATAGGTCAACTTCAGTCAAGTCTAAAATGAAACTTTACCTACTATAAAGTACCTAATTAAACAAACATAAATACTAACGTATTTTATTGTTAGGAGAACAAACAGCATTTTATAACACACATAGAGTTACGTAGTACTGGTAGTACAGGCGACGGCACGTCAAGGTAACCACTGTGACTGTGGGTTCTTGTGCAGTTGTAATAGGGGCGAGTTTGCAATAAAAATGGGTAACCTGATATGCTGTCGTGTGTACTAAGTAATTAAACAAATTACCTTCATTAAATTACTATTCGTTCGTTTCAGCCAAAATTACTCCAAATTACTTACACTATTATTACATCTATACTAATATTATAAAGAGGAAAGATTTGTACCTATTTTTGTATGTTTGTAATGAATAGGCTCAAAAACCACTGAACGGATTTTGATGAAACTTTACAGTATTATTGTTCATAATCCAGTATAACATATAGGCTATAATTTATGACGATCTGTGACAAAAGAAATTTCACGCGTGCGAAGCCGCGGGCGGAAAGCTAGTTATTAATATAGAGAAGTCGGTTAAAAACACCTAGATCAATAAAAAATATTTCAGGCACACAAAACTTTGTGTTGTTCGGTTATCGAACCCGCTACCTGTGGCTATACTTATTTTTTTAAGCTAAGCGTATTCGTTTGACTACTTGATACATTTTATCACCTTCAACAGCAGTAGATAATATACCTTGCAATTATAGCTTATAACAATTATTAAATCGCATGCTTGCTTAGCTTTGTATCGCTTGTGATGTGACTCGCTCTAATGTCTCCCCAGCTACTGAATCAGTTGCTAACAGCTTCTCGAAGTAGTAAGGCAAATAATATAGCTATGAGCAGTAGGCTTAGTATCGCACACGTCAAACTAGATAGGAAAATGTATGTAGGTAGGTAATTTAACCTAAATAGTATGTTAATATGTAAGTAAATAGTACCTACCTACTAGGTACCGATGTTTAAACCAAAAATGTCCACTGTTGGACAAAGGCCTGAATCAGAAACCTATGGTGGTCTTACGAGCTATTTTTGTAGGTTAAGATAAAGGTATTATGGTTAGATATGAAAATTTTTACAAAAATTAATTAAATCGGAAATAATTCCTACAAAAGATTTAATTGCTGTAATGGCTTCATTGGTTGCCCATAAAGACTCTCCTTGGTTTTCGACTTCGACGGAGTTGTGCTTAAGTGGTGGGAGCCCCCGAAAGTGGCGTTTTTTCGGTTTTCCGGTTATACCGCGTAAAGGACTTACCCTATCGAAAAGTGGTCTTCATGACGGTTGAAGGGTACTTAAACCTGCATTGAATAAGACCAAATTCATATGTTTTGGACAAACCGTTCACGTGCTTATCTTCGACAAAGTAGAAAATGTACGTATAATTAGTTAATAACCCTCTCTACGTCCAATAGCTCGTCACCCGCAGGCTATAAGATATACAGTCCGCCGATTGTACATTCTGGGTGCAATAAAGTTTAAATAAATAAAATACACAGATACATTATCTTGTAACATTGTATTAGGTCTATTGAGTCTTTCTTCACTATGTAGCAGGCATTGCTCCGGTGGCTTTTTGTACCTTTTCTCCCAGGATCACGAGGCTTCTTCAATACAAACCAGTTTTCAATACCGTACCGAACGGCGACATACACTAAATTATTACGTCTAATGGAGATTTAATTGTTTTAAAATTATTTCTAACGGGCACAAGTATGAGGCCTAAACTATTTTTGGGATACCTTTTTGAATAACTAGATACTTCAGACTTTTTGTTTAAACCCAGACTTTCGTAATCAATAACAAATCTTTGCCTCAAAGATTAAATTGAAACACACATTGGTGAAAGCTATTGTCTACTTAGGGTCATTTCGCCTGTTCGCGTCCATCGCCCAATTCGCGTCCATTTTGCCGATCTCCTTTTAAAAATCCTCGAAAACAAGTCAATTAGCACACCAATCAAACGAAAAGTCATTACCGCTAATACGTCAATGTATAAGAGGCACGCACACATAGACAAAAGTCCTGTGCATCCAACCANTGACCCTACATCAAAGAAAAAAGTTTGGGAAACTGCATACTGAAATAAAAACAACTACTGAAAATAAACCCATACTTTATTCAGTAAAATACATTGGACACCATGAGGAATCACCACAGATATGGATTAGAGTAGATACAGCAAGTTGATCGTCAAAGCGTGCCATTCCGATATGTCCAAATGGACATACATGGTCGAGTGATGTTCATGTAATCCGATTACAACAATCGGTTACGATGATTTTAGGTTCAGGGATGTCAGAAGTAAGAAATTATTTTACATAGCGCCTCTAGTCCCAAACTAAGCAAAGCTTGTAATTTAAACAAACATGGCAATGTACCATTCTGCTTGCTTATTGGTCGCTAAGCCCTTGGCCAACTCAGTAACCAATGACGGACGATTGTCACTCAACCACAAAGTACCGCGTAAATTATAAGATATTTTTTAATTAAAAATATTAACCAATAATATTTTTTGTTAGATCAAATATATTTTAAAGTTAAGTTATACATAGATCGAAATGTATTTATTAGGTGATCAATATTAAAAGGCAAACTTGATATAAAAATCATCAAATTAACAAAATTAAAGATCAATAACTAAAAAAGAGGATCAAATATTATTTTTGTTTACCAAATATTAAAAGAGTATGTTAAACATAAATATTATGTTACCTTTAATGAAGATCATTCATAATTTATCCGTAGATCAACTAAAATAGACCCAATAATTAATATAAAGATAAAATATAATAAAAAACATCATTTATTTTTAAAAGTGCACATACAAAAAAGATCAATTAGTTTTTAGAGGATCAAATAATATTGTCCCTTATCTATTTACACATACAATAAAAATATTTTAAAATACTGTATTCGTATCGGGGTCTGGTGAACTGACTAAAGATATTATTATTTGCTTTCTCGATTGCTCAAGAACAATACAACTTTGGCTACATCTGTTTTAAGTCAATGCTTTTTCAAGCAAGCGAGCAGGATTCAGACAATGAGGGCTACCGTATTTTCATTCACTAGCTGGCGCCACTGTCTTAGCCACTAGCAAGTGACGGTGGCGCCAAGTGGCGAGCTCAATGACATGTACCGTACAAGGTAGTACAAGGCTACCGTATTTGAAGCTCCAATACGGTAGCCTTTTTTTACACAAAGCAAACATGTTTGTCTAGTCACATTAAGCAAATAAGGTCCTTGGTGACGATAGCCTATCGACGGTCTATCAGAGGCAAACTTCGAGCAAATACCTAGTCACCAAAATAAAAAATCTTATGGACCCCTATTTTTCACGGCATTCAAGCCTTATTTGCTTAAAGTTACTGCTTTGCATTCTGCATTGCGTTGCTACGACGGTAAGAGAATTTCACAATTACACTGAACTGATAACTGAATACAATTTGCTACAATAAATCATTATTCTAAGATTGAAAA